CCTTTTTTTTTTTTTTTTTTTTTTTTTTTTTCCCTCCTCCTTTCTCATACCCCTAACTCTGAGCTTGCGACCTTCAGCTCATCCCTGTGTCATTGCAATGAGCAGCAGCACACCTTCCAGACTGCTAGCCAATGCCCGTGCCATCCAGCACGTCATTCTGGTGCTGAGATCACAGTCTGTAAAACCTGGATATAATCCATTAATCAGGGTGTCCAACTGTCTGTGGTGGGACCAGTTGCCAGGTGGACAAGGCAGTGAGTGGTTCATGGGGTCTCGGCATCTGGCCGTGCACTGGTGTGGTGCAGACCTTCAGCACAGGCTGAGACAAATATTCCCTCATGCCCTTGGTTCCCACCACCCCCCACATAACTGCAGCAGAGGCAGATGTGGCTTGAAACACCCAGTGCAGCTCTTGGGCTTTGCCTGCTGCCCAGGTAGATGATGTCCTCCTGCAAAACCATGGTGGAAGAGCCAGGAGGCTGAAAGGAGTCACCCTCTGGGAGAGATCCAACCCACGGGGCACTACCTGGACCTAAATTTGGCTTGGGAGGATGAGGGATGTCATCTGCCCCGTTAGCTCCATCTGGAAGAGCACGCATGCTCCCAACCGTGTGCTGCGCTGACGCTCGTACGGCGCCCGAGTCACCACCCTGCATTAGCTTAGTCCAGCACATTTCCCTGTTACAAAATTAGATCCATTTTGCAAATTGCTGCTGCGCTCGTAGTTGAATTGAAAGGTAGCTTTTTGTTGGGGTTTTTTTGTGTGGTGGTTTTTGGTTTGTTGTTTTTTTTTTTTTACTGGAGTAAATCAGGAATAAGTCAACAGAATCAAGCCCTTAGTGCTTTCAGCAACATGCTCATTTAAATTGGATGCAAGAGGGTGTCTGTGTTTACATTTGGCCTGCCAAGAATCTCTGTTTCAGAAACTGGCTTACATAATATGTCAAAATTGGTTTACTCATTAGCATTGCAAACTGCGTGAAACAAGCCGCAGATTGATAAACTCGCAGCAATATTTGCATCCAGAGCCGAATGGCACAGGGGGAGGGGAGGTTCATTAGGAAACGTTCCATTTCCACAAGAAAAACAAATGGTTTCCAGTTATATATCTCAGACTTCGTTAATTTTCTGTCTTCCCAAATGTAAATAAAGATTGAGAGGGAAATGTGAAAATCTCCGTGGGCAAACAGGCAAATCTTAATATTTCCTGGGCTGATGGGTTGTTTGCAGCAGCAGCTCCAGGTTGGCTGATTCTCCTCTCGCCGGCCGGGGCTGCAGCCCCTCTGTGAGGCTCCAGCCTGCTCGCACAGCCACTGCTGCCCTGATTGATGTTTCCTCTACAGCACAAGTGGGATGGAGGCTCTGATGATGCTAATTAGCTCCTCCAAATGTGGGGTGGGCATAGATTTGGTAGCGTGTTCCAAAGGGCCCGCGGTGGTGCTGCCTGCTCCTGCTTTAGCCTGCCCAGAGTGTGGGTGCGATGCAGCCTCGGGCAGAACTGAGGACTGTGATGCTGAAAAAACTCCAGCTCAGGTCCTCTGTGGCAAGACCAATAAAACTTCATCTCCACTGCGCAGCGAGGGATTTTACAGGCACCTGTAAATCTGCACACACACATGCGAGCGTAAGCAGAGCTCCTAGGGTAACGTGAGCACGTATGTTAAGAGTGAAGCAACACAGCAGTGAGAGGGTCTGAGTGTAACCAGTGCTTTTGGGCTCCCACTGTGTGGGCTTTAGGTACTGTGTGGTGGACTGGGAGCTGGGAGAAGAGATGGCAAAGTGTGGTGGGGAGCCAGAAGAACATCCCCTCTCATGCTGCCCTGATGCTTCTGTCCCCGGGGAGAAGTCTCTCCCCAGGCTGCAGCCCTCACTGTTACTGGTGTCGCTGCATCCCTTTCAGCTGGGTTGGCCATGAAACCTCCCACAGGCAGGGATTAAATCTCTTCAGACCCTGAGTGATGTGGCAAAGCTGGCGGAAATCTGCCACAAAATCTGTACAGCTTTACAGTAGTATCTAAAGGAGTTTGAGGCTTAAATCCCCTGAAGCTTTTTAGTTTGCTTTGAAACTCCCGACTTGAAAATCAAAAGTGGAAAGCTCTGTTACAGCCCAGAGAGAAACATGGCATAACAGCACTGGCATTGGCAGCAGCTGGTTTTATGCTTGGTGATGCTGAGTGCCCGTCCAGTAGTTTTGTTGAATTTCTGAAACGAATCTAATAAAGCTGAAAAAAGCACCAGCCTGCAGTGCTGCAGGGTCCTCCGCAGCCTGACAAGTGTTTTGCCTTGTCAGCAAACACCAACACAGCCACTTTCAGCAATGTTAGACCTGATCCACAGCGTTCATGATGTGTTGCTTGTTTGGAAAGGAAAAAAAAAAAAAAAAAAAGCAGGCTTTGATCTCTTTATGCCATGGAGTCAGTGTTGCAGTGTTCAGAGGAGCTGTGCAACAGAATGGGTCATCACCTGCTGCAGCCCCTCATGCTCTGGCTAAAACAGCATCCTGCATCCCCATGTCCTGCACAGGTGCCCAAGTGGGCACATATTTTTAGATGGCTGAGACACAGCAGCTCCCAGGGGTGCTTCTGCAGAACTGTTTTAATGGATGTTTTTCAAAGTTTTCAGAAGACTTTAGAGAGTTTAAGTAACAGCAGTTGTTAGCTGTGGGAAGGGAAAATAAAATTATCTCACTGGAAAATGAAAATGAGAGGTGTTTGCATTTCACTTACTGTCACACCTTGCAGCAAGAGGCTGGTCACCATGAGATACAGCGAGTTTCAGTGCCAGCTGGAGAGCTGAACGCAATGAAAAAGGCCAGGAGCAATGAGATGTATCAGCTGGGGAGCTCAGGCAGGCTGAGCATCCTCCGCCAATGTGTGGGAGCAACCCAGGCACCCACAGGCTGGAGAAGAGCTCTCCCAGGGGTGTGGGAGAACCGGCATCACCCCTTGTGCTGATGCAGTGGGTAGTAAGTTTGGTGTGGCCCTTGGTCACTTTTGCCCTTCACTGGCTTTTGGTTCATGTTCCTCTTCGGGTCTGTGTTATTTCTACAAAACCTCTTCCACACCTTCTCTGGGCTGCTCGGTCTTTTCTAGAGATGGCAAGGAAGGAGTGAGATGTGTGAGCCCCGTCCTTGGGGAGGAAGGTGTGTTGGCCAACGCTAACCAGGTGAATGCCGAGACACTGTTGCAGCCTTTGTGGTGTGAGCGTGGCTGCAGAGTGCCGTTCCTGCGTGGATAAAGGCATCAAAGGGCTGATCACGGTGCAGTGGGAGGCAAATGCTAACCAGCTCTGCAGACCAGAGGTGCCGAATTGTTTAATCTTTGTGGCTGGGACTCAAGCGGCGTGCACGGTAGCTGGCAAATGCTTCCATGTACGTTAAAATGCGGCGAGCAGCAGAGCAATGCTTCAGCCTGGAGAACTCTCTCAGCACCACGATGTCTTCTCATTACAGCATCAGCCAGCATCAGGCTGTATCTGTTGGAAACACAGGACCACATCATCAGCGGTGACATCTGCCAGCGTGGCAATGCAGCTCCTGCTCGTGGGAAAGGGGCCTGGAGGGCTCTTGGAGTCACCTCTGTGCCTGGATCGTGCTAGAAGTGCCAGCCCTGAACAGATAAATTGAATTATCAGATGAATTCAGTTCCCTTGGTTTTATCTTCAGGATTTTCCCTGTGAATTCCAGCTCTTCTTGCACAATGTATATCCTAAGCCGCTGGGGAAAAGCGATTGTGCTCCGGTTTTGCTGCGTAGGGAACTGTTGTCACCCAGCAGGTGTTTCTGTGTACCAGCATGTAACTTCTGTCTCCAAATAAAAGAAAGTTCACCTTGTGTCTCATTCATTAAGTCACATGTATTTGAAAATATTTGATGCAGTGTGTAAAAAAGAGGGCAAAACAGTGATAAACCCGGGGCTGATAAATAAATAGCACAAAGCGTGATTCACAGTCTCAGTTCCACCAAACAGTGCTGGGGCGATGGGCTGGTGATGCCGATGCCGGAGGCTCCCAGGGTAAGCGCAGAGCCGGGAGCCTTGCAGAGAGGGATCTGCGGATCCATTTCGTGCTCTTAATGTGCTGAAGTCCTGAGCGCTGAGCGGAGACACGGGACCAGCCTGAAACCCCTCTCGCGAGGAGGCTTGCAGTGAGAGGGCATGCGGTTTGTGTCTTTGTACAGCTGCCAGGGGGAAGCAAAGGTGGCATCTTTCCAGAGAAGTGGCACGCGTTTGCCACCGATGCGTCCTGCTCACAGGCAGGTTCCTGTATGTTGGAGGCAATGAGCTTACCTCCTCCTCCTCCTTCCAACACACCCAAGGGCACAGCGATTTTGTTTGGGTGGATTAATAGCACAGAAATTTTCCCTTTTGGTGTGAGGGACCCATGGGTTTCCCATAAGTTTTCTCTGACACACAGATAGGGACAAAAGCTTGAGTTCCAGGAAGATGCTTTGGAGGTCTGGTCCTGTGAGAGCACAGGAGAAGCTCAGCGCACATGGAAGTATGGGAGACCTGAGAGGTCTTTTCTCCTTTCTGGATGGGGTCCTTGCTGTAGCTGCAGGGCAGCTTTCTGAGATGCAGTGAAAGGCATCTCAAACTGTAACAGAGAGTCCAAAAATCCCCCCAACCCAGCAATGAAGAAGCACTGCTCCGATGACCGTCTGTAAGCGTCAGAGCTTTGGAGGATCTTTAAGCTTAGTACAACTTTAGCCCAGAATTGTGAACTGTTTCTTTCCTATAGAGCACACACCAGGGCTGAAGTGATGCTGCATCAGCGGTGGGGGAGGAAGGGGTTGCATCTCCCAGCCCGCTGTGGTGGTACCTGCACCACAACAAAGCAATCAGCCTCTCACCGAGGGGAAAGTATTCGCTTTCTCTACTTAGGCTGTGTGTAGTCATTGTCTAATAATATGAGCATTTTGCCATCCCTCTGCAAATAAGGCTGAGGCTGCTGCCTGATTGGTATATCATCTCACTTTCTCTCAGCATTGATTTTCTTGCTCTCCTTATTTGCTTCATAAAAAGCGAGGCAAGGAGCTGGTGCTCGCTCGCTCCCTTTCCCTCCCTCCCTCCCTCTCTCCCTCCCTCTCTCTCTCTCTCCCTCCTGTGAGAAGCTTTTGGGAGCCTTTATTTTTAGTATGAGACAAACCTTGCTTTATTTCAGGAGACGCAAGTTGGATTATAAATCCTTTTGTAAATGTGTATGGTGATATTTGCTCCGGTAAGTTATATGCATCTCTATTTATTTGTGTAACTGTACTGTTTGGGGGAGAAGTGGGGTTTTACAGGAATCATGAAGCCTACAAAATTGGTTCGAGGTTTGATTTCTTTGTACTCTCATGCTGAGCCCAACTGTTCCATGGGTTTTAGATACGTTGAAATAATTTTGGTTTGTATTTTGCTTTGCAGAGGGGGGTGCCTGCTTTGAAAACTTGTTTTGCACTTCATTTTACAGCAGAAACGTGGAGAGTGAGGATTAAAGGGAAAAGAAATTCTGATTTATCACATTCCTTCTGGCATTTTAAGTCAAAGATGCCTCAAAATAATGCAGCAATATTTGATATAAAAGAAATCAGTTAGAGCTATTTAATATTGATCAAGCTGAAGTATGAATATCTGACTGCATATTACCTTAGAAAGATCAATCTGAAGTATGGCAGATTGGCAGCAACATGCTCCTCATCAAAATGTACTAATGAAATAAAGAAAATCTTTAAAGTAATTAAGAAAATAGCTTGCTTTTCAGAGTGTAACATCATTAATACAGGTCAATAGACTGTTGCTCTGACTTTCTGCTCCCTGCCTCTGCCTTGTACAGCTCAGCAGCCTCATTCCTCAGCGCTCTCAGCTAACTTGGAGACCTCTTTACCTGTAAATAACAGCAAGGGGCAGTTATTTATCTCCCCATCATAGCTCCCGGTGTGCTTTCCAGGCAGTACAAGACAGTGATTGTAAGAGCATGGCTAAGGAAAACAAGATGTATAGCTGAAATACTTTCAGACTACCTAATAAATACTTGAATTCGCAGCATTATATTGATTAATTTATTGGCACTTTGATTCTTTCATACTTGAATCATATCCACGGGAGTCGATTGCTTTGATGTTTCGAAGTCTTTAAAAACTCCAGCTGTAGCACAAGCTGGAGCTGCTGTGAGAACATGCTTGAGTGTATATCTGCTCGGAAACTCAAAGTATTAAACCCAGAATAATTTGGGTCTAATGATTCCAGGGTATGCTAATAGATAGATGAAGTGTACTTTAATAAGATGTTAGAGGACTGTAACGGGAGAAGGTAAGGATGTTGTGCCTGCCAGTCCAAGCTAAACTCTTCCAGAGAGAAATTTCAGATTGCCAATAACTGCTTAGTCATTTGGACCAGTTTAATTGTTCCTTTTTCTGTTGTTTGGCTTTTTTTTTTTTTTTTTCCCAAAACGGAATAGTTGCACTTGCCTGAAGAGCAGCCGATGGGAGTATTTTGTGGCGTGCCCCTCTGCAGAGGGCTGGTGAGCTCTGCTGGGCTCTGTGCTGTGGCTGCCCAAGCCCTGGTGCCGGGGCACAGCATCCCACGGGCAGCCAGCCAGGCGCAGGGCGTTGTACAGGCGAGCCCACGCACTCGCTTCCTGAAAATGTAGTTAATAGGCACCCAGTTCAGTGGCTTTTTGGTTTTTACATGACTGCTGTTTCATAAGGACCGTACATATTTATACCAGCTACATTAACTTGAAGGCATGTGCTCGGCACAGTGTTGGAGAACGTAGTACATGACAATAACTGACTTCTTCTCCTTAAGGGTGGAGGGCGTGTGCACATCACACACACTTTCTAAGCATAATTCTGCTTGTCTGAGGACAGCGTTAAGCATTTCTAACTTTGCTGAGCCTTGTTGTCTGGCTCAGTGCAGTGTCCTCCAGGTGAGCAGAAGGACAATGGTCAAAAGAGCAGATTTGGGTAAATCTGGAGGGGAAGGGTAGTGTGAGCCAAGGAGCAGGATTCCAGCTTCCTACACCACAAAACTAAAGGCCTGGGTTTTCTGTGCCACATAACTCATCGTAGCAGGGGTGCCAGACTGCCCTGAAAGCTGGGCTGTGGTTTATTAAGGAAGCCAGTTGAGCTCATCTTAATAGCTTTGAAGCAGGAAGAGTGGCCAGGGACAGTTGGTTTGACTGCACACAGGGGGAGGTCTCACCCCTGCCCCCCAAGGCAGGTCACCAGCGGCCAAGGGAGTGTAAGGCACAAAGTGAATAATGTGGTTAAGTCCATCACTGCAAGACTTTCCCTTGGCAGAGCAGCTTGTGGCTGAGCAGAAATGATCCCTTGAGCCCTACATGCTCTCTCTGCAGGATACAGCCGAGACAAACTCGGGGGACAGGAGAACTTGCCCCGCTCCTCATCTTGTACATACAAAAGTCTTCAACGATCATGGTTTTCCATCTGTTGCCTTTTGCCCATCCTAGTGTTGCGATGTGTAGTGCTCCTTCATCTCCAGCTACTTGGTGGTAGCAGGTCTGGAGGCAGCTTGCCCCCAGTCCAGTACCCCCAACCACCTCTCGGACCTTGGAGCAGCCTCCATCACCTCCCTGGGAGCGTGACAGCCTCTCTGCAAGATGACCTCAGGTTATGTGCAAACCAGGGCTCGGTGCAGCTGCCGGGACAGGTTCACAGCATGGTGTTCCACAGGCGCCAGGGCTGAAAATGTGAGGTTTGCGCCAGTGGGATGGAGGAGTCGCTGTCCCTTTCTAGCAGATGCATCAGGGTTTGAAACATTATTTTAGGGGTGTCTGGATCCTGGGGAGCTTCTTTTCCTTTGAGACCTGTCTCTTTGGCTGCTCCTCTCAAACAGTTCCCAGAGAAATTCCTTAAACTCTTAAAAAATGGACTTCTTAAATATCTGGTTCCTTCTGAATTCCAGATATTTTTTTTAGCCAACTCCTTGGAAGACTTAATAGTTAATCCTCTGTTAATCCTGTTCAGATCAATAGGGGCTCTACAGAAGGGAAGGCATTTGTGTTGGTATTGGATAGCAGCTGCCTGTCACTGCTGGTGATGGCAGGTGGTGTTTTATTCTTCATGTCACTCTTGATTAGGAGTTCCTGTACAATTGTATGACCATTTTTTTCAGGGAGTATTTCCCTCTACGTAGGACATCAAATGGCAACTTGACCTAGAGTTTGGTCGTTCCTGATTTTGCCTTTGGGTTCTCTTTTCCTCAGCAAACTGGGCACAAATCAGTTCAAATAGCATGGTATACCCTCGCAAATAAAACACGCTCGTGTGTGGTGGACTGGGGGGCTCAGCCCAGTTAGTCTGAGCAGAACTGGGGTCCCTGGGTCCCTGCCTAAGCCCTGCCTGTGCAGGCGCCACAGTGGGATGCAGGCATGTGGGAGGGCATGAGGAGAGCTGTGGGTTTGGGACAGGCAAGAGCTACCTCCCCATTGAGCATGTCCCTGCTCCTTCATCTAGAGCTGGGCAGGCAGCCTGATGTAAGATGAAGGGAAGCTGCGGCCTGCCAGCACAGCACACGTGTGTCCATACGCAGGATGCAGGGTTGCTGGAGCCTAGGCAGGCCCAAAGGAGAGATTTAGCTCCTCACCCAGGCGTGCGGTGGCATAGTGCCAGCCCTGAAGATGTTGGAAGGGGCCCGTCGGTGTTTCTGGGCTGCAGGCGAGGTTGGGGCTGGGGGAACACACTCCTGCCCAGGCTCGTGGGTTCAGCAGGAGCAGAACTGTGGAGCGCTTGTTCCGTTTTTATTTAATTCAGCGTTCAGCGCGGATGGAGTGTCTTACTGTGCTGATTCTTAGCTTGCAAAATGTGATTGTTGCCCTTCACCCAAAGGGCTGCTCAGAGCCCTTGAACCTGCAGCGAAACTCCTGGGTAAGTGAGCTGTGGGGCCAGAGACACGACGATACTGTGACACTCTTCAGCCTTCCTCTCCTGTCATGTACAATGTCTTATTTTGGAGGGGGAAAAAAAAAAGTGAGAAGGAAAGAAAGGAAAATGAGAAAGACGTGCTGAGCCCTCCTGTAGAGACAGGGGAAGAGGCAGGTGATCAGCATGGGGTGCCATATCTGCGGTGCTGTGCCTTTCCTCTCCTCTCCTCTCCAAACCAGCGGGTGCCGGGGCTGTCTGTCTGTCTGTCTGTCTGTCCGTGCAGAGGCTGGCTGGGTGGAAGGGCTCTGCGCCACCTGAATGCCTGCGCAGCGCCTCATCTCTCACTAAACTTCCCCGGTGCCGTGGCAAAGCAAATATGCTGCAGCAGGCTGGAAAGCTGTAAACATATGGGCACTAACAACAGATTAAGTGAGTGATTTAGTCTAAGGGGCTTGGTAGATTACCATAAAATGTATCTTAATTAGAAAAGCAATCAAACTTGCACGGCGTCAGTGAGGATGAAACGTCCTTGTTGGCAATAGTGAGAGCTGTGTCCCCCACGCCAGGGGATGGGGATGGCGAGGGCTGTACCTCATGCCCACTTTGGGGGTTTGCTGGGGTTTGCCCAATCCAGTTATGGGTAGAGGGTGCTCTCATGCTGAATTATTTGTTCTTTGACCCATGAGGCCATCCCACAACCTGCTCAGAATGAGATTGATGGTGAGCTCGGACTCCTTTAACAGCATTAAGAGGCCAGAAACCGCTGAAGGTGGAAGAACAGAGCATTTGCACATTTTCCTTATAACTGTGTGCAATTACCCAAAGATATAGTTAAGTGTTTGCCATGTATAGCACAGCTAGTCCCAGATAAAGGATTGGGGCTTCTAAGTGCTACCATAACACAAATAATTAATAAGTCTATCTCCCTCACTGTGTCCTCATCTTTTTAGTGAGTGTGGCCATAATTAGCTTTCACCTGATTCTGAATTTATAGCATGTTCAATTGCTTTTTCCAGTCTGCTTGTGTTTTCTTTGCTTCCTTATTTTATTGGACCTGGTTTTGTTCCACAGGTCTGAATCTACAGATAAAAAAAAAAAAAGCTAGATAATCATCTCCAGCAGTGCAGATATAAAGATTGCAACAGCCAAAAACATATTGATGCATTATTGGTTTTGTACAAGTGCCTGCTTTCTTCTGGGGTCTGGGAGGATTTGAAGTACATTGGGAAGTGGCACAGAAGATGTACAGCAGCTGCTAACAGTTGAGAGAAAGGAAAGGACGCCTGGTTATTTCAGAATTAAGTATTTTGAACCGCAAAGGAAATGGAGAACATTCAGGCAAGTTTTTTGC